GGTTCCACCGCCCGCGTCCTCCGCGGCGAGAAAAGCCCCGTTCGTATGTAGGGATCCGACATAAGTCGGATCCATGTAACCCGGGGACTGCCTGTACTAAGAAGGATAGCTGCTGAGATATTATGGAAACAAACTTTTTCTCGGAGTAGGATGGTTCCACCGCCCGCGTCCTCCGCGGCGAGAAAAGCCCCGTTCGTATGTAGGGATCCGACATAAGTCGGATCCATGTAACCCGGGGACTGCCTGTACTAAGAAGGATAGCTGCTGAGATATTATGGAAACAAACTTTTTCTCGGAGTAGGATGTCTAAAATTCTCTCTTGCCCTTTCTTGAGTCTCTCCTTCCCTTATTTCTCCTTTGGTCTCTGCTTTCTGTCTTGCTGTGTCATCAAATTGTCATTAATTCCTCTACCTCTTGATCTGTCTCTGTAAGTTCATCTTTGTGTGTATTTGCTCTGGCAGGGGAAACAGGATTTGAGCCATGCTATTCCGAAGTGTTGAAGGTCGTACAAGGGAAACTTCACCAGCCAGATGAGATTCGCAGAAACTCCTTCTATGCCTTCTCCTACTACTATGATCGGGCTGTTGACACCAACTTGATTGGTAAATCACTTTGTGGTAGAGAGCTCTTGTATGATGATGTGCATGTTTGTTAACTAGAAGAGGGAAACTAAGGCACTAAGATTACTTGGTGTGAGGGGTGGGGAGACTGTGGGGAAGATAGGCCACCTGTGTGACTTTGATGGAGGAGAAGCAGCAGCACACCCGGGGAACAAATATGGAGCTGAGTCGACAAACACGGTTTGTATTGAAGAACTTTCCCAGACCTGCATAAGAGCTGTGTGTGGCTCCACAGCCTCTCTGCCCCCCTCTCTCTCTCTCCAACAGCAGTTGGTCCAATAAAAGATATGACCCTCACCCACCTTGTCTCTGTGGGTATGTCTACACTACAAAGTTAGTTCGAACTAACGGATAATGGCAGGGAAACTCTACTGCCCCCCTCCTGGCCCCGGACCCCTTAAAGGGGCACGGGCTGGCTACGGTGCCCGTGCCAGGTGCAAGCCTGCCAGCACCCA